GTCGTGTCACGGCGCGGGCAGCTCCTGTGCCCGTGCGAGGCCTTGTAACCCTGCTGCCAGGGCTCGGCGTGCCGGTGGTCAGGCAGCCCTGCAGCAGAGCTCGCTTTGCCGTCTGACGGCGCTCAGCCAGCGCTGAGCGTATGGAAACTCACGTTGTGTCTCGCTTCTGCAGAATCTCGGGACAGTGCTTGTGCCCTGTGGAGAAATTGGTGCTGTTTTGGAGCTGCTGCCTGGCGGTGTCTGGGGGTGTCCTTGCTGCACTTGTCTTGTGAGAAGCGGCAGCTAGTCGGTCCCCTTCGCCGTCCTGCCCCGTTAGTGATTTTGCAGGCCTCTGCCTTGCCTTTCCCCAGCTGCAACGCCGTCCTTTCATCCCAGAGAAGACAGATGCTCGGTGGCTCTTGCTCTGGCAAAACCCTGAGATTAAGCAGCACAGGACCTGGAGCAACCTTTAAGTTGCACCTTAGCCATGCTTGCTTTTCTGTTCATTTTCCTGTGTGTGTGTACAAACCCTTTGCTATTAGGTGAAAGGCCCAGGTAAGCAGATACGTGTGCTTGCCCACTTCAAGTGAAACCATTTTTTTTTCCTTTCTGATCTTCCAGTTATCATCTTTGGTGCTTTTGACTTCATTGTCTAAACAATTGTTGGGAGGAAGTGTGAGTTCAGTGTTTCCTTTGGAAAGCACCCAACGTTTGTATTTCTGTGCTGGCAGGGGCTCAGCTTTAGGAACTTCGCGCCTGTTGTAGCTGGGTTTAATTTCTCCGCTGCCTTTAAGGGCTTCTGTTCAGGTGTCTGCGCTTGGCGTAGGTGCTCAGGTTGGACAGAAGGAGCATGGCTGGAGTGCAGTTCGTTGCTTATGTGATGCGAGTGACCCAGGTGAGGAGTCCTGCTGGCAGGGTGCCCCTCTCCCGCGTTTCAGAGACACATAATGGACAGGAGTGGTGGTTTCCCTCTGCAGTGCACCTGTGGAGCAGCTTTAGGGGGGCCATAAATTCACCCAGCCGCTCACACCGAGCCTTCCCGCCTGCGTGTGAACATCAGCTAAGGTAGAACAGCGTGGGTGGGAAGGCTGAAACCCCCCCTGTTCCTCTCATGCTGTCTGCACGTGTGTTACCAGGCTTCGTGACGACCCGGGACTGCTCCCAGTGCTACCTCCTGCCCTGCAAATGAGAGTTTGTCCCGGGAGACCCGGCGCATCTGGTCTGAAGTGCTGGAACCTTCCATTTACTGCTGTGTCACCGTTGTTGTCGATGCCACGGGCCACCCGCCCTGCACCGCTCCGAAATGGGGGTGGCGATGGTGCTGCGATACCGTTTGGGCAGCTTCTTGGGGTGGATGCCAACTACCTGTTTCAGTTCTGTGCTCTAAATATGATTTTCTTAATTACAGGCAGGTTCCCCACATGCTCTTCATGGAACTGCAGCAGTGGGGTTAAACCAGCTCGGGCGTACAGAGCGCTGGGCTGCCACACCGGAGTAGCTGGAAGAGCAGTCCTGCTCCATTTGTGCCGCTATTGCTTTTCTTTTTTCCTGGAAGCCTGCACAATCCATCACTGCAAGTTTTTAAGGACAGGATAACAACATCGGGCATCTCTCAGCAGTGACGCAGGAATTTTGGTGGGGCTTTGGAATAGGAAATTAATTGCAGGCCCTCCAAAGGTGTACCCCTGCTAAGGTTCTCCTCTACTGCTTCAGTTGCTGGCCCATCCTTAGCCAAAGCTGGAGCCTTCTCCATGGCCTTTGGGGGGATCAGGGGCAATTGCTACCTCTGTTATTTCAGTATTGTCACCGTGTGATGATGGTAATGCCAGTAAATACTCTGTCTGCTGTGTAAACTTAATGCTTGTGTTTCAAATGATTTATTCTCCCTTACAGAAACACTGCTTTCCATCTGAATATACCAAGCAGAGACCTCTGCACCGCAGAGTCCAGCAGACTCAACAGCGCTCCATTGCGTCGCTTTAGCTCTCGCCCACTTGAGAGGAAACAAAACTCATGAACCTCCTGAGGTAAGGGGTGGCTGAAGGCTTGTGTCCCATGTTGGATCTCCCTACGCTCCAGCAGAAATCATGGCAGATCCTTCCTGGACTGAAGGAGTCCCCAATGAGACAGCTGCCTGGGGCAGTCTGGAAGCTGACTTCCAGTATTCCTTGTTTACGGTCATCTACAGTGTTGTCTTCATGCTGGGGCTGATAGAGAATGCCTTGGCTCTGTACCTGCTGTCCTGCAGAGTGAAGCACACCTCTCATTCCTACGTCTTCATGATTAATCTAGCCCTGGTAGACACCTTGTTTGTTTGTGTGTTGCCTTTTAAAATTCATTACCACCTGAAGCAGAACAACTGGATCTTTGGTGACGTTGCTTGTCGGGTGACTGGGACGTTGTACTACATCAACATCTATCTCAGCATCGCCTTTTTCACCTGCATTTGTGTTGATCGCTACATTGCAGTGTTGCACCCCTTCAGGTACATCCGTATCAGAGCCTTCCATTACGTGCTGGTGGTCGCAGTCCTTTGGGCGGTCGCTCTAAGCGTCACGGTTCCGCTTATCCTTGGAGGCCCGCTCCACAACAGCGGTGCGAGGAACACGACGGCGTGTTTTGAGAACTTTGCTACGAGCAGCTGGACTTACCGCATGGCACCTTACAACATCCTGGCCTTGGTTTTTGGGTTTGTGATCCCCTTTTCCATCATTCTGATCAGCTACCCACTCATCGCGAAGAGGATCTCCCAGATCAAACGCAGCATTCGCAAGAGGAAGGCCCTGAGCACTATCTGCATCATCTTGGTCATTTGTACTTTGTGCTTTCTCCCCTATCACCTCACTCACTTGCTCCACTTTTTAATGAGAATCCAGGTCATCCAGAACGAGGCGCTTACCAGCTTGATCTACAAGATGCGAAGGGTCACCCTAGCCCTGGTGAGTTTGAACTGTTGCCTTAACCCGCTCTTGTACTACTTCACCTCCTCCAGCAAGCGCTGCTACCTCAACTGCAAGCTCAGGTTCAGGTCCAAGAGGGTGTACACCATCTGCGACCAGAAATTCGAGGAGTGCTCCTATGTTTATAAACTACAGCAGAGGCACGGAAATAAAAAACAGAGAGGTGGCATCAACGGATCTGCTTAAAGTAAGTGCAGTATTCATCTTTCCAACTGTTCCTTTGATAACAGACCTGTGAAACGTACTGCTCTTTGTCGCATGAAGGTTGTCACGTGAAGGCAAGACTGGAGGGGAGCGCCTAACGGCCGTAGATTTTAATTAGCCAGCTAGGATGGTGCCTGGGGGAGCTGTATTTTCGGGCAGCCCTAGATAGCACGTGGTGAAACGCGCCACGTTCCTGGACACGGGCGTTTTGGTCTCCTTTTGTTTAGCTCAGGGGTTGGTGGGAGAGCACAGGGCGCTCTCCTGGGCAGCCATGCAGCCCGGGAAGGGTTGCTTGAGAGAAACCAGGCTCCGAACGGACGCTGATGCCGGAAGCTGGGTGGATCAGGGCAGCTGTGCTTGGTTGGTGGAAAAGAAAATGGGCATTCTAGTGGCAAGCAAGGGGCTTGAGCGTGGGGGCTGCGTGGCTCTGTTACAGCCCATCACTAAACCACGTGGGCACGGCAAGCAAGCCCAGAGCGGGTCTGAAATCCTTGGAACAGAGCTAAAGCTTTGTAATAAATAGCGTTTGTGGGTGCAGTGTTCATTTGTCGGGATGGGCCTGGCTGGAATTCCTTCCTGCTCCGTGCTGGATGGACACCCCCGCACTAATGGTGGGTTCACCCTGCCTGGCTTCTGCTCTTAGCCTGGAGGAGTTTTTTTTTTTTTAAATACCAGTGAGAAAACCTGCTCAGACTTTTCTAAGGTGCTGAAAGCAATGACTCCGGTGTTCCTCTGCTCAACTGGGCTTGGCAGACCCTCGCGCTGGTGACACAGGGAGGAGGTTGTTCCGTCGCTGCCCTTCGGGAGCCATCTCCCAGGAGCCATTAATAACGACACTTTTTACTTTTTCTCTCCAAAGAGCCAAGCTATGGGGAATACATCGTCCTACATCGTCTCCTTTTCCTCCAGCTTAATTAGAAGAGCTTTTGAGAATTTTGACTGTCCCTGGGATGTTCAAACCGGCGTGCTCCTCGTGCCGGCTCTCCTGACCACATTCCAGGTCTTGCGTCGGGTTAAACAGCTGTGTAAAAACACCACCCCCTCCGCTACCAGGGCACAGTGCTGTGCGGCCACTCGGACCCCCCACGACGGGTGCTGCAGCTACCTGGACCCCCGTGACGAGCGCCATGGCCGCTCAGACCCCCGCGGCTGAACCCGAGAACCAGGGGCCCCAGAATCGGTCACCCCCGTATGTAAGAAACGGACACAAACGCTTTGCGTTTTATCTGTGAAGCTTCCAAAACCCCGTGCTTCACTCGCTGCTGCCAAGGGTTCAAGGGAAGCGAGCTGTGGGAGGGGGAAACGCCGAGGATCTTTTACCTCATTGTGTAAGCAACACGGAGCTGGTTCCTCGGAACTCCCTAAGCACCGGCTGTCACGACGCCCGGGACAGGTTTGCAGCGGGGGGAGATCTAACACTCTAATTCCTTTATTAAAACCAGCAAAACACCGTGACCATGTAAACAAAATAAATCTCTCAAACAGGGCTGTGGCTGCTGCGCCGTTGCTCTGGGGGTGCTCTGGGGCAGGCCTTTCTTCAGGAGGGATGTGAGGTAGCTGCCCAGCTCCTCGTCCTAGAGAGAGCAAAGAGAAACGGGGTGGAAGCGATCTTCGGCTTGACTTTCCTGTTTGGGGCAATAAATTTGACTCTGGGACCGAGACACAGACTGAAATAATTCATGGACCCATCAGAATCTGATGGTAGCAGTGTTCAAAAATGGAAACCAGTTAGCGCAAAGGCGGTTCTGGGTGCTCTTTCAAAATACCAGTGTAGGTGGCTGGACCTGAGGTGTCCCTTTTGAGGAAAATGACCATTTTTCTTGAAAGCAAATAACCATTGGTTTTTTTGCTTTTCCCTCAAGAAGGCATCTCCTTGGTGTAAAGCAAGCACTTATAAATAACAGCTGTGAAAGTATACTTTGGAAAGGAAGAAAACATAATGACTGTGTCTAATCTGGCCACAATTTTGTGATAACTAGCGCTCTGCTTGTTGTTTGAAGTTCTACACCTAAGAAATAAAATATAATATATAAAGTATTATAAATATTATATATCTGCGCTGTGTGGCAGTAGTGATATAGCTGAGCGTGTAGAAGCTGGACACTGTCCTCAAAACACAAACGTAATTGTCATTAACTGCAATTATATTAAGTGTGATTACTGCAGATCGGTTGCCTTGAGCTCAGTGCTCCCACAGAAAACCAGCTCAGCGCTGCTCCTGTAAAACCGTTTGTGCTCAGCCTAAACCGGTGAAGGAAGAGGCAGTGCCTCTCCCAGTCCAGGCGCTGCAGACCGAGCGAGGAGGACGCCCAGCAGCAGCCCGCGCTGCAGGACAGTTTGGGCTGCGAGGGAGCGAAGAGCAGAGCTGTCTGTAACTACCGTACCTGGTACGTCCAGGACACGAGCAGGACTTTGGTCCCCTGATCCTCCGAGTGTGCCGTGGCTTGGATGAGAATGGACTCTACTGTTATAGACCCATCGGGGAGGTGCTGCACCGAGTAGTCCTTCAGGATGCTGGTAAGAGAGAAGGTAAGTGGTTAATTTTGGGTGGGAGATGCACACAGGCTGAAGGGTGGGTCACCCCCTCTGTCTCTGAATCACCAGCACATCCTTAGAGCACTTCAGCTGTGTCTCTGAGCCAGCACCCGCTGCCCAAGGAGGGGAGAACGGGGTCAACTCACAACCTGCTTAGTTTGGTGCTTCTGTTAATCGTGTAGGAAGTCCTACAGAACTTATGTCTGGCTTAGCTGTGGCTCCAGCCTGAACCCTGCTCATCCCAGCAAAGGCCTGCTCACAGGATGCACAGTCTGCCTGTAGGACAGGAACAGCTTTTAAGGTTCACCTGCTGCTGGCGCTGGAACAGCTTGAAGAGGTGTCTTCACCCTATGCCCAATGGGCTCGTGCCAAACAACCGTGCCAACTTCAGCTCGCGACAGCAGCGAACCCACGGGGACAGGGATGTGGGGGCTGCACGAGCCTGGCAACCCCAGCCTCTGCTGCGGCGGTTTAGCCACTGCTCTGGGTACCTCGGCTGTACAGACCGAGAGCCAGAGCAGTGGTGTCTTCCAGGCTGCAGAGAATTTCCTCTTAGTAACCCCGTGGGGCTGGTCTGGAGGGCCAGAAAGGAGGGGGCACTTGTACTACCTGTACTGAGGCGGGGGGAAAAGCCCAAGCAGAGCTGAGGCTGGACTTGCCCTTTGAGGTGGTTGTAGACACGAAGCACTGTCTCGTGTTCCTTCCGCGGATCCTGGATGTGAACGCGGCAGGTGAAACGCAGCTGATGTTCCGCAAGGCCCAGCTCCTTCAGCGCCTGCTCCGGGGAAACCAGGCGGAAGCTCTGCAGAGGAAAAGCACGAATCCAGCAGGAGCTGTTTCTCTGCGCTTTCTGAAGTTTCGTCCCTGCTCCGCGCTCAGCTGCACACAGGTCTGTGTCCTCACTCCAGCAGGTAAGGTCAGTCCCTCGCAATCTCTGGAACGTCCTGGCATGTTTCAGGGACTACTGCGAGCAGTGACAGCTCATTAACAGCAAGGTACTAATTCTGAAGCTGCGGGACTAGTGAAGGCTGTCGGCCAAGACACCTGAGAAGCTCTGCAGTCCATCTTACTCTTCCCAGGTATGCCGTCACGGGGCTCCCTCCAAGAAACCAGGACTGCTGACTGTTCTTTTAGTTCCTTGGTCACCCAGACCTCACTTCACATTGTACCACCACACGCGTTCAGAGGACACAAGACAAACATAAGACCTTTTTTACTTACAGTGTCCTTCATAATTAACGTGCCGTGCATGAGCTTTGGCTTCTTGGCATCTGGCAAGAGACCTAAACCAAGGCCAATGGAAGAGAAAGACAACACGGTTAACGATGTGTTTACTTCTCACACAACTGCTCTAGGACTTCACAGATTGGATTGCTGGCTCCCTGCTGGCGTTCAGAGATGAGGATGTTACACCTTTGTTCTCCTGTCTGCTGGAGCACGCGGTGCTTAAACCATTATCAGTGCTCCAGACACACAAGAAACCCCGCTCGGTAACACAGAACAAGCCCCCCTCTTCCCCTATCACTTCCTGATTTGAGCGGTCAAGCCCCCCTCTTCCCCTATCACTTCCTGAGTTGAGAGGTTTTAGGTTTTTCTTAAATCGGGTTTATAACAGCAATTCCAGTTTTCACAGAACTAGCTGGTAAAAGCATAGATGGACTTTGTTTTCACAGTGAAGGGGCAATTAGCAAACACGGTAGCGTGTTTGTTTCTCAGCACTACTGAACAGACGTTCACAGGAAGCCCTCTGAAACACGGAACGCCCACAAAACCTTTTCTTTCACAGGGAGCACCACTCTAAGTCGCCACTGCTCCACCCGGTACCAAGTCCTACGCAGCACAGGGGCAGGGCCCAAAGGGTCGAGTTCTCGGTCGCGAACGCGTCACCTATTGCCGTTTCTCTCTTCAGGAGCCCCAGGGCGATGTCCACTGGAATGCTGGGGTTGGTGAAGATGGTGGTCGTCTCCCCGTTTGCGGGCATGTAGCAGCTGACGTCTGCAACGCAAACAGCCCGCGTCACAGCCCCGCTTCGCCCACCAGCAGCGTGCATGCCAGCACCCCTGGAGCCGAGGGGGCGGTGACGTGGGCAGCAGCCTACTGCAGCTGTTCAGGACAGGGAGTGAAGCTTCACAGGAACCTGCTGCTTTTTTTTTCCCCCCTGGAGCTCATTCCCTGTTAGCAACTTCAGCTGCTAACTCACAATTTCAGCTGTACCCTGCCTGCCCCGGCTCCTCTGAGGAGTCTCAAGAAATACAGGTTCAGTAGGTGCTGAACTACACCACTACAGACATGTCAAACCCACCTGTCTAATTAAACGGGCTTTGCATGTGCACTAAGACACGTTACGGGTGCTAGTTTCCTGAGGGTGACTGGTCCTGCAAACTACAGTCTGCCTGTGTCTGTGCTGAGACCCACTGGCCTCAGTATGTGGACTTTAAATGCCTTCC